GCTTCCCAGAGTGTGGGGATAACGGAAGTGCTGTTACTTGCAGGTGTTGCATAATTTTTAAAATCCCAGTATATCTTTTACCTAAAATTAAATTTATTTTTTCCATGAAAGGATGAAGATTTTTGTAGACGTATAACTCAGCTGACTTATCTTTTTACTCCATTAGTGTTCTCACCAGCCTTTTCAGTCTTTGGTGTTTTATAAACCCCCTTGGCTGAAGAGGTGTGCGTAAAGGTAATAGCACTTCCCTATTCCCTTTCTTCATTTCTTATTTGTTATTTTAGGCACTACAGATTGAATCCCAGGGCTTTGTATTGAGCTCCGTCTCTAGTCCTTTTTTATTCTTTATTTTGAGAGAGGGTCTTGCTAAAGTACTAAATTGCCCAGGCTGGGCTAGAACTTACTATCTTCCTGCTTCGATCTTCGAGAGTCCTGACTTATATGACAGAGAAGGTTTTTTCTTACTTTTTGGAGACAGGGTCTTAAGATGTAATTCAGGCTGGGTTTGAACTCACTCTGTAGTCCACCCTGGCCTCGGACTCATGGCGATCCTGCTGTGTCTTCTTCCCTGTGCTGGGATTACAGGCACGTGCCACCATACTTGGCTTTATTTTCCATTTTTCATCAGTTTTTTTTTTTTTTTGCTTATTGAAAGGAGTTAAATTCAAATTGGATAGCATCACAAAACAGAATAGTACACTTATACTATGACATGATTAATTTATTTTTAAATTCTTTTTCTTTCTTTTCTTTATTTTTTTATCTTTTGAGACTGGGTCTCACTGTGCAGTTCAGGCTGGCCTTGAGCTCTCTTGGTAGCCCAGGCTAGCCTCAAACTTGCAACAACCCCCCTGCCTCAGCCTCCCCAGTGCTGGGATTATAGGCACATGCCACTGAGCCCAACCACGTGATTAATTTCACATAGGAGAATTAAATTCCACCAAAAGAAAGTGTACCTGTTTGTAATTTTGTGCGTTATTATAAATGTATGATTTTATGATTACATTTTGGTGTTAGGTAATATTTATATTATCAGAACAGAAGGAACTACACTGAACATATGCCAGTATGTTTGAAGATTGCCATGTGAAGGCAAAGGACTTCATGTGATCCTAATAGCGCTTACGTTCGGTGGGTTCAGTCTGATGAAAATGGAATAGCAAGCAGATAGGCTTGTTGGAGAGAGAAACCTCCCTTTCTGAGCTTGAGTCTTTGCAGAAATGACGTCTCTCCCCACTTCCTTAACAGGACACCTTACTGGGAAACACGAGCGACACTTCTCCATCTCAGGATGTCCGCTCTACCACAACCTCTCCGCTGACGAGTGCAAGGTAATTGCCCTCCCCCGTCTCCCCATTGCTGTCGCGTGGGGAGAGCTTGCTGGTGGCCTGGCGCTTGGCTGCACGCTGGGGCTACAGCGGTGCACAAGGCAGGCACGGTCCTCCTTCATTCTTACCTTCTCGTGGAGAAATAGTTAAAAGAATTGTGTTCTTAAAAAACTGCTTGGACAGACAAGAGAGTTAGAATATTTAGCGAGTGCTTTGGAAGAAATGAACAAGGAAGAATATTTGGGACACTCACCACTAGTGCATTGATATTTTCCGTAGAAAGTCAACTTGAAAGGCTGCTAGGGACCTGCTGGTTATGTGACCTCAGTATGTATTTGTCAGATTCCCTCTTTACAAATCTCTGAAATTATTTTGCTTTTTAGATTTTTTTTATAATTCTTTTCCTCTTCCTCTGTCTATTTCTACAGAAGACTTTTTCTTTTGGTTACTCTAAGTTACACCTATTCTTGGCTAATTCTTCTGTTAAATTCTTGAAAAACATAGCTCCTAAGTCACTTCTGGGGTATAGACAATGGATCTGAGTGTAGAACCTAAGGTTCCGTGCATATGTCCCCATGTGGGTTGCATGTACCTCGTTGGAATCAAAGGACTAATTGTAGGGAAGCAAGAATTGAAGATGTTAATTAGATAGATTGCTCGGGAAGTATCTGGGCAGGTTACCCTAACTGCTCTCCCTAAACCAAAGTCTTGCTTTTTGGTTGTTACTTTGCCAACAAAGCCTGTGTCCTTGTCTGAGCAGGTATCATTTTGGAGAAAAATTAGATTCCCAGCTAACACTGGTTCTTCTTGATTCAGGAACTTGTTCTCTTACTGACAGGCAGACCACAGGGTGGAAACTTCTTTTCTTTTTTTTTTGGTACCGGAAATCAAACTCATGACCTCACACTTGCCAGGCAAGTGCTTACGCTGCTGAGCTATATCCCCAGCCCCAGGTAGAAACTTCTTTGTGTGCTTACTGGATGGACTTTAGGGTTGAAGACTCTGCTCTTATTTTACTTCATTCCAACTCTTGTGGTAAGAAGGCAGCCTTTTCCCCTCAGTGCAGACTCTTCCTGTTTTCCTGTGGTCTTCAACAAGTTGAGAGCGGCAGTAACTGCCACCGTGATTCAGAAGCTGGCCAGGTGCTGGGTACATCTTCCTCTGAAAATACCTTTGATCTACGTCTAGTAGGCCCTCTTCTATGTGCCTTTAAATATAACAGTTGATACTGTGGTTGGTTTTACATCAAAATCTTCCAGAGGTACAACTTTAAAAATTCTTAGGTGAGCATAGTGATGCACGCCTGTAATCCCAGCACTTGGGAGCCTGAGGCAGGAGGATTGCTGTGATCAGGAGGTAAGCCAGGGCTACATAGTGAGACACTGTCTCTGAAAACAAACAAAACAAAACCAAATATTGGCTTAACCTGGTGCAGTGGTACATGCCTATAATCTCAGCTACTCAGGAGGCCAAGGCAAGATCATGAATTTGAGGCCAGCCTGGGCAATTTAGCAAGATCCCATTGTAAAAAAAAAAAAAAAGTGGGGCCGGGCGTGGTAGTGCACGCCTGTAATCTCAGCACTTGAGAGGCTGAGGCAGGAGGATCATTGCAAGTTTGAGGCCAGCCTGGGCTACAAAGTGAGTTCAAGGCCAGCCTAGACTGCATAGAGATCCTGTCTCAAAAAAAAAAAAGAAATGGGCTTGTATCTGTATCCGCATGTTACTTAAACAGTTTAAAAAAAAAAAAAAAATTTCAGTCTAGGGAAGAAAATACTGAAAAAAGGAAAACACTTCTGTCATGAACTTATTTTACAAGGCAAATGAGGCTTAGCATAATCCATCTTTACCTGTGGACCGTGTACTTGGAGGATCAGGGGAATTTCTGAAGACGATCTTTGTTCCACTGAGGATCCCAATTGGAAAGCCCAGACAGTTCCTTGATTTTATAAATAGTTCTAGTTTTTCTTTCGTAGTGTTTTTTTTTTTTTTTTTGTCTTGTTGAGACAGGGTCTCACTATGTAGTTCAGTCTGGCCTTGAGCTCATTTTATAGCCCAGGCTGGCCTTGAACTCGCAGTGATCGTCCTGCCTCAGCCTCCTGAGTGCTGGGATTATGGGCGTGTACCACCACTCCCAGCTGTAGTTTTTGTTTTTTGCAGTGCTGGGAATCAAATATTGGGCATCACAATTGCGAGGTAAGCGTTCTCGCTACATGTCCTGCCCAGCAAAACCTTTAGAGTTTTAATACTTTCTGCATATGATAACCGCTTTTGAGAACCCCTGTAAACCTTTCAGCAAGTGATAGTACCGTTTTTTATTCAGTCTATTTTTTTATTAGTCCATGATTGCAGTACAGAATGTTCCTGATCCTTGTGTAGAGTGGGTGCATGGACAGAACACCTCTCGATTCTTTTTTTCACCCCCTTCCCTCCCTGCTCACTCCATCTCTGCTCCCCTGCCCTCCCTTTTTTTTGGTACTGGAGTTGAACTCAGGACCTTGCGCTTGCTAGGCAGGCTCTGTGCTGCGGAGCTAAATCCCTGGCTCCCTTTCCCTTTTGACAGAGATCCACCTCCTTACTTCCTGTTACCGATCTTTTACTTGTTCTTTGTTTATATCTTGGGTTTCTGTCAGGCATCTATTTTGTGGCTGTGTCTCAACACGGTCACAGATGCGAGGAGTCAGTGCCGAAGGTAGAAGCCTGTGCTCAGGGAGCTCCCGCACTGAGGGGGGCAGTGACACCTGCGGATGAGTGAGTGGCTGAGCATTTCACACAGTGGTGAATACTGTGAGAAGCAGACTGGCGGCAGGGGCCGTGGGGCTTGGGGATGGCACACGGCTTGTGCCGCCGGGTGGTTAAGGAAGGGTTTCTGAAAGCTGGCATTCGATCAGGGACATGGATGGTGGCAAAGAGACGCCGTGGAAAGCAGAGTAGAAGGAAGAGGCCATGAAGCGCGGACGCACTGTTGGGCTGGAGGGACAGAAAGGCGGCTGTGTGCCTGGAGTTTGGTGGGAGATAGGAAGCAGGGCCCAGGCTTTGCAGACACTGGTACAGAGGATATTTTTACTCTGGTGGCAGCGGGAAGCATGTTGGGGACTGAGCAGAGGCGGATATAATTTCACAAACATTCTGTGGAAATCCTAACTTGCTGGAGACTGGAGAATGGGCTGTCGGGGACGAGTGCCTCAGACAAGCTTCTGAGCTGGCAGGAGGTGGCAGCCCGGGCCAGCAGGGGATCATTGCGGAGCTAACTCCAGCCGGGATTCCAGGTGGCTTTCGGAAGGGAGCGCGGTACTAGGCTGGCGGGTGGATTTCATGTGAGGTGTGAGAAGAAGAATCAACCATAACTCGAGTTGTTTGGCCCAATCAGCTTTTGAGATGGTGTTTTGTCACTTACCGATAACAGGGAGATTCGGGTGGATCAGATCCATGGGGAATATTTGTCACTCTGTTTTGACACTGCTGGTTTAGTAGTGAGGTCGAAGAGGCAGTTGGATGTGAGAGCTCAGTTCCTGATGATGAAATTCAAACTATTGAGAGCTGATGGGATTTGTCTGAGATTATGTAGGTACAGAGTTCAGTTTCTCTGTAGATTTTTTTTCTTTTCTTTTTTTTTTGTGTGTGTCTTTCTGAGACAGGGTCTTGCTTTGCAGTTCAGGCTCACCTTGAGCTCACTTTGTAGCCCAGGCTGGTTTTGAACTCACAACAGTCCTCCTGCCTCAGCCTCCCGAGTGCTGGGATTGTAGGTGTGCGCCACCACGCCCGGCGCTTCCCTGTAGATTTGAAGCCAGGTTTACCTTTTTCTTCCCTCCCTGCCTTTCTCTCTCTCTCTGTCTCTCTGGCTTCATCTTGCTGTGTTGCCCAGGCTCTCCTTGAACTCTTGGGCTCAAGCAATCCTCCTGCTTCAGCCTTCTGAATATCTGAGACTATAGGCACGTGTCTCTGTACCTGCCGGAACCCGGGTTCTCTTTCTTGGTACTTCCTCACTCTTTTCTTGCACTTTTTCAAAGTTTCTTACCCATTTTATGTGGAAAGAGTCCAAGCTCAGAGCCATTGGATTTCATTAAAATCTTAGCTTTGCTATCCTTAAGCTGTGATCCTTTCAATTCTCTGATCCTCAGTTAATGGCTGAGAAAGTACAGTGTGAAGCTCGCTTAACTCTTTCTTGGAGAATATGATGAGTGCGCTTTCGCTTTCAGAGACAACGTAACTTCAAGGGCTGGTTACTGTGTTCTTAGGCTGTAAGTAAACGCAGTCCTAGGAGCGGGTGGATTTATTGACGCTGTTGATGGTTGCAGGTGAGAGCACAGAGCCGGGATAAGCAGATAGAAGAAAGGATGCTGTCCCACAGGCAAGATGACAACAGGCATGCAACCAGGCACCAGGTACGGGCCTCGTGACAGCTCTGGCCGCCCACAGGTGGAGATCTGTGTCGTGGGTCTCCTTCACCCATAATGGCTTCGGAGGCCTATCTGGGCCTCTTGCTTCCCAGGGTCCATCCAGATAATTGCTCTTCCAGGCAGAAACTCAGAAAGATGATGTTTGTTTTCTAGATAGTTTTCAAAGCAAACACTCCCTGAGAAAGGGCGGAATCAAGCTGTTCACAATAATAACGGGAATACGCGATGGTCTGATTGTTTGAGAGCCTGCGCTTACTGTTCCAGTTCCTCGTCTTGCGTCCTTCTGCTGACCTGGCACAGTTGGCCTCAGACCGTTCCCTTTGCTGGCACACGTCCGAGCTCACGACTGACATTTCTTCAGCGTGTCATACTTGTTGACCAGGTCCCTTCTCTCTTCCTGTGAGATCCAGGCAGCCCCGGCTCTGTCTTCTTGCCTCTCTGAATATTCAGGCCATGTTGATTGCGCTCAATTCCCTCTTCCTTCCCAAACGGCTTTGCTCTTTTCCTGCCTAGAACTCTCTCTATGTACCAAGCAGAAAAGATTTATTTATTCTTTGAGGCCTTGTGCAGCTCTCAGCTGAAATAGGACTTCTTCCCCAGCTTTCCGCTGCCATTATTGACTCTGCCTCATTCTTGATGTCAGCCTTTGTTCTATGTAGCTGATCTCCAAAGTGTCTGTGAGGCAGGTAGGAACCAGAATGAGTGAGGAAGAAGTTGGCCTTTGAGGACAGACACCTGGATCAGAACACTGTGATTCTCTCTTGTCCTGGGCAGGTCAGCTAGCCTCCCTAAGCTTTATTTTTTTATTAATAAAAAAAAGAATGTGGTGGTGGGGGGTGGATGTCTATAATCCCAGCACTTCGGGAAGCTGAGGCAAGAGGATTGCATTTGGGCAATTTAGCAAGACTGTTTCAAAAAATAAAGAGCTGAGCATGTAGTTTAGTGCAAAGGCCCTGGGTTCAAATCCCTAGTATTGCAAAGGGGAAAAAAAAAGAGGACTGGGTGTGGTAGTCCACACCTGTAATGCCAGCACTAGGTAGGCTGAGGCAGGAGGATCACTTCGAGTTTGAGGTCAGCCTGGATGGTGAGTTCAAGGATAGCCTGAATTACATATTGAGACTGTCTCAAAAAACAAAACAATGCCTACCTGGCTAGGGTATCAGCTACATTGTATATATGTAAGTAATGTACCCAGTATGCGACAGATAACAAACACTCTGTAAGTGTACCTACATCCATTCATTGTCTATTTTAGGTTCTGTTTTTCTCAGTTTTTCTGTTTTTAATTGTTTTTGCGTTGCTGTTAACTAATAAGCATTGGGGCTGGGGATTTAGCTCAGCGGCACAACACCTGCCTGTCAAGCGCGAGGTTGTGAGTTCAATTCCCAGTACTGGAAAAAAACAAAAAACAAAACAAAACAAAACAAAACAAAAACTAGTAAGCATTACTTTAAAAACAGCATTCAATAAATACTTATTGTATAATCTTTTTTTTTTTTGAACCGGGAATCGAACTCATGATCTCATTTTGCCGGGCAAGCGCTTATGCCACTGAGCTATATCCTCAGCCCAAAATCATCTTTCTTCTTACTGCTTTGGTGGAGGCTATTTTTTGAGGGGGAGGTTGAGACAGAGTCTTGGTATGTAGTGCAGGCTCCCTTGAGTTCCATTATGTAACCTAGGCTGGCCTTGAACTCATGGCAATCCTCCTCAGCCTCCTGAGTGCTGGGATGACAGGTGTGCGCCACCACGCCTGGCTAAGGCTACCGTTATTAATTTGTATTATTATTAAAAACTATTACTCCTCACCCCGGTGTGGTGAAAACACCTGTCATCCCGGCACTTGGGAGGCTGAGGCAGAAGGATCATTGAGAATTTAAGGCCAGCCTGGGCTATATAGTGAGTTCAAGGCCAGCTTGCAGTACATAGCGAGACCCTGTCTCAAATAACAAAAACAAACAAAAACTGTTACTCCTGAACCCGCATTTAACTAGCAGTAAGGGTATGATCTGGGTGCTTGGCGAACCTAATTTGGAATTATAAAATTCCCATATTAGTCACAGTGTGACTGTGATGGTCTGGCATTTTCTTTTTTGCTTTAAAACATTTTTGCGAGGCAGGGAGGCCCAGGCCTATAATCCTAGTACTTGGGAGGCTGAGGCAAGGATGTGCTACACAGCAAGACCTTGTCTCAAAACGCCCCCCACAATTTTTTCATCTTTAATTCTGATACTTTTGAAGCCTAACTTCATGATGAGTTTTCTGTGTAGCTTTCTCAGATTTTTATTTTTCCTTTTAGGCACCAACAGAGCGGCAGCTGCGATATAAAGAAAAGGTGGCAGAACTTAGGAAGAAAAGAAATTCTGGACTGAGCAAAGAACAGAAAGAGAAGTACATGGTGAGAAAAGTTCAGGGCCGGATTAGCACCAGCTCCTGCTATTGCATTTGCTTCTCTTGCTCTAAGCGTCTTTCAGATTTGCAGTTTGCTCTTTTCTCCAAGTGGCGGTGGTCTCCAAACTGGGCTGTTGGGAGGGTGGACACAGGAGATTTAGAAAAACCGAATACAGTTAGAATATATATATCTATCTTATATGCACTTATGTACTGCAGACCTGGGGAGTGAACCCTGTGCCTTTGCACTGAGCTATGTTCCCCAACGTTCTTTTAATTTTTTAAAGTTTAATTTTGAGACAGTCTCCCTAAGTTGCTGAATTGCCTGAGTGGAGCTCGAATTTGTGATCTTGCCCCCACAGTCTCCCAGAGTGCTGGGGTTATAAGTGTGCACCACTTCATCCAGTTTGAAATTTATATTTTTAAAACTTTGGCTGGGTGTGGTGGTGTGTGCCAGTGATCCCAGCATTTCGGGAGGCTGAGGTAGGAGGATCACAGAGAGTTTGAGGCCAGCCTGAACTACATAATGAGACCTTGTCATACAGGTAGAAAAAGCATGACATATAAGTTTCTGTAGTTCACTATATTGGGGTCAGTTTTTTTGGACCAGCTTTTCTTTTTTTTTTTGTCTTCTGGAGACAGGGTCTCTCTATGCAGTTCAGGCTGGCCTTGAGCTTATTTTGTAGCCCGGGCTGGTCTCAAACTCACAACAGTCCTCCTGCCTCAGCCTCTCAAGTGCTGGGATTGCAGGCATGCGCCGCCATGCCCAGCTAGACCAACTTTTCTTATACAAATGCTGGATAGGATTTTCTTTTTCTTTTTTTTCCGCAGTACCGGGGCTTGAACTCATGACCTTGCCCTTGCCAGGCAGGCGCTTATGCCACTGAGCTATATCCCCAGCCCCAGGATTTTCTTTTAAAAGATCTTTTTGCCAAGCATGGTTATCTATAATCCCCACACTCAGGAACTGAGGCAGGAGGATGGCTGTGAGTTAAACCTGTGCTACATAGTGAGTTCAAGGCCAGCCTGAACTGTATAGTAAGACCGTGTCTCAAAAACCAAACCAAAACAAAAAGATCATCTTTTAATCCTCATGAAACTAGAAGAAATGAGTAATACTTAAAACCTAAGTCTTAGGTAGGTGACAGAGTCCAAATTTCAAAAAGATCTACAGGATATGGAACCAGATTAATAGGAAGCAGTTCTAACAGGGTTAAAGGTCCAGGTGAAAGGCTTCTTCAAATGGTAATGTATGCGTGGAATCTGGATTTTCCAGGGCTGAGCTGTGGGCTCCAGTTAACTCCGGGTTCCCCTTCCCGGGGGAGGTGGGGCCGGAGCCCAGAGGGAAGGGCTAGGGTCAGAATTAAAAGAGAAGTTTCCTTGTCTGATTTCCTTCCAGGGAGTGGATACTTGGAGTGATGGCCATGGTAAGATTTGAAAGTTAGTTACAGCTGGATTATTTTTATACTTTTAATTCTCTATGACTTTTCTCTTTTTTAGTCTTGCTTAATAAGACATTTTAAAAACAGTATAGCCTGTTTTCTGGTGGACTTGGGTTGGAGTTCTGTTATGTTTTATTTATTTATTTTTGTCTTTCTGAGACAGGGTCTCACTATGCAGTTCAGGCTGGCCTTGAGCTCACTTTGTAGCCCAGGCTGGCCTCGAACTTGCAACGATCCCCCTGCCTCAGCCTCCTGAGTACTAGGATTACAGGAATACACCACCATGCCTGGCTGTTCAGTTTTATTTTTAATTTTTTTTCTTTATAGTTTTTCGAGACAGAGTCTTGCTATGTAATTCAGGCTGGCCTTGAGCTCACTATGTTTGTTTGGTTTTGTCTTCTTTAGACAAGAGTCTCACTATGTAGTGCAGACAAATCTTGAGCTCACTTTGTAGCCCAGGCTGGCCTCAAACTCGCAAAGATTACATACGAGCACCACCACACCTGGCAATTTATTTTTTTTTATTTATTTATTTTTTTTTTGGTTTTTCTCCGGTACCGGGAACCGAACTCACGACCTTGCGCTTGCGAGGCAGGCGCTTTTGCCGCTGAGCTAAATCCCCAGCCCCTCACACCTGGCAATTTAAAAAAAAAATTTTAAAAAATTTTTGCCTGCCTTCCTGCGTTGTTTTTTTTTTTTTTTTCTTTTTTTCTTTTTTTGAGACAAGGTCTCACCATGCAATTCAGCCTGGCTTTGAGCTCACTTCATAGCCCAGGCTGGTCTCCAACGTGCAAGGATCCTCCTGTCTCAGGCAACCAAGTGCTGGATTACAGATCTGCACCCCCATGCCCAGCTCTCCGTTGGTTGTTTTCAAATAATTTTTATTGTGGTAAAATACAGAAAACAAAACAAAATTTACCACTTGCGTCCCAGTTTTTTGTTTGTTTTTTGGTCTACCTCCTTTCTGCAGGTATCCCTGACTTAGGATAGTTTGACTTAGGAGTTTTGACTCTGATTCTTGGTTTAGTTTTGTTGTGGGCAGTGCTCTTGAAGGACTCCAGGGCTGTATGCATGCTAGGCAGGCGCTCCACTACTGACTACAGCCTCAACCAGAAACTGACCTCGGAACTTCCTTTTGCCAGGCGGCCTCATGCCTTGGTGGTCAGCGGGTCACGTGACAGAATTTACAAAGCACTGCTCAGTCCAGCTGCCTGTCCCACCTTTGGACTTTCCTTCTGGTCTAAGGTCTTTAAACCCTGAGGCTCGGACAGTGTGATCAGAGAGCATCTCCAGATCTCAGGACTCAGGATTTGTAGCGCCTCTGGGCTTGCTGCAGTTCATGTTTTGCGATGTCCTGCAGCATATTCTTGTGGGTAAATGGAGGCCTAGATTCTGGTGGTGCAGGTGTGCACTTAGAGATAGAAGATGTCCCCTTCCGGAGCGGTAGGGGCCTCTGGCGTTGTAGCAGGTGTCCTGCGGTGTCGGGCTAGTAAGTAGTCTACTGTGGCCTCAGTCCTGTGAGCTCACGCATGGACACAAAGTGAGTAGCTTACGACTGTGATAGGCATCCGTTGAGACAAAAGAGCTGTATACTCAGTGGCACAAGTGCCTGCCTGGCAAGTGCAAGGTCCTGAGTTCAATTCCTGGTCCCAAAAGAGAAAAAAAAGGACTGTATGGCTACAGGCAGAGGTGTGATGCTCTGGTTATTCTCCTAGGAACACAGGCAGACCTACGGGAATACTCGGGAGCCTCTCCTGGAAAACCTGACAAGCGAGTATGACTTGGATCTCTTCCGCCGAGCACAGGCCCGGGCTTCAGAGGATTTGGTGAGCATTAAAAAAACCTCTGAGCTGAGGCCCTTTGTGGAATGCATTTTGAATGACCAAGAAAAATGATTAGCAACCAGTTCGATGGGAATTAAATGTCCCTTGCCACCTAGATCTCCTTTCTTTTGAGACTGTTCTTCCCTTTCCTGTTTGAAGGAAATCACATCTCCCTTCCCCATATTCTTTGGTTTTTTCCTGGCCTCCCAGCCCAACTGGAAGTTGTAGCTGGGCTCCATTTTCCAGGGGTGTCCTTTTGTGTCCTTGGCTAATTTGCAATTCTGAGGACCTGGGGACTGGCAGGTGTCCTCCTTTGTCTCAGCAGGGCCTCCCCTGCCGCAGGGTTTCCTCATCGGCCTTTTAGTGCCCTGAAACAGTTCTGGAGCTTTCAGTGATAGAAACAGCCTACCGTGGTACGCGTGCCGCAGGTTTGCCACCGCCGCCGTACAGCCTTTACAGCCTTAAAGATAATAGTGAAGGCAAAATGAGAAAGGCTGCTGTCAGTTTATGTTTTTTGTTGTTTTTTGAGATAACTTTCCAAAGCCATCTGGGGAGCTTATGTTGCACAGTTTGGCTTTGAACTTTTGGGCTCAGCAGTCTTCCTGCCTCAGCCTCCCCAATGCTGGGACTACAGTTGCTTTTGTGAATTAAATTCTGACAATGATGAAGCCAGGCATGGTGGTGCACACCTGTATTTCCAGCACTGGGGAGGCTGAGGCAAGAGGATCACCATGAGTTCAAGGTCAGTCTAGGTTACATAATATATTCAAGGCCAGCCTGCATAGAGACACCCTGTCTTTTAAAAAAAAAAAAAATTTTTTTATGAAGACAAGTTTTATGTCTTTCCTTTTCATTTATATTCAGCTCATACTCACGTTGGATTCCCTGGATAGAATTTTTAATAAATTTGGATCAAGAAATTTCTTTAGATTGGGCTTATGTCTGATATAACAGATTAAAATGTGTTGAAGGAAATTTAGTTTGTAAAGTGAATCCCATCTCCAGCCCCGCTAATCCCCTACCTGTTTAGAATTCTGTCCAGTACTAGATTGGTTGGAAACTTGCAGGAGGGTTCCTTGGCCGCCCCCAACGAGCATACGCTGCTGCACCGCTGCTGGCTTTCTGCCCTGTTCTGGAAGGCAGTGCCCAGGCTTCTGCCACAAAAGGAGCTAGAGACCCAGAAAAGTTTTCTTCCTTCTTAGCCTTCACAATTCCATTGTCACCCGTAGTCCAAAACTGTTTTTTATTATTTATTTATTTATTTAGTACCGGGAATCAAACTCAGGACCTTGTGCTTGCCAGGCAGGCGCTGTGCCACTGAGCTATATCCTCGGCCACAAAATTGTTTTTTAAAGGGCTGCTATTTACTGTTTAATTTTAGAAGTGGGTGTTGTGGGTCTGTGTTAGAGATTCATACAACTTTCTGAAACACTTCTGCAGGCAAGTAAGGCACATTTTTTTTTTTTGGAGACAGGGTCTTGCTATACAGTTCAGGCTGGTCTTGAACTCACTATGTAGCTCAGGCTGGCCTTGAACTTGAGGCAGTCCTGCCTCAGCCTCCTGAGTGCTGGGATCGCAGGCATGCGCTACCACGCTCCACAAGACACATTTTAAATAATCTGTGTGTTCTTAGAGTAGTTGTATTTGGTAGATTACCTTTCTGATTCAGTTTGGTTTAAGGCTGATACCAGGGGAGGAAAAATGTGTATTCTGGGCTCTTTCGGATGGGGCCCAGCATGTGGTAGGGAAGTGGCCCTTGAGCCCTGGCATCTGGTTCCTACAAGCCTGCTGGACATCCCCTGCGCACGCAGCCCCTTTCGCATGAGTTGCTTGTGGGTAGAAGCCAAATCTGTCTCAAGTTTTTTCATCACCTTAGCATGGTGACCTGCACACAAGCTTACTGTAGGTTTCTTTTTTTTTTTAAGACAGTAAATGTTAAACCTCCTTTGACTTTTGCGTTCTCTTGGCAATAGGAGAAATTAAGGCTGCAAGGTCAAATTACAGAGGGGAGCAACATGATTAAAACAATCGCCTTTGGTCGCTATGAGCTCGATACTTGGTACCATTCTCCCTATCCCGAGGAGTACGCACGGCTGGGACGTCTCTACATGTGTGAATTCTGCTTAAAATACATGAAGAGCCAAACGATACTGCGCCGGCACATGGTGAGTTGGCTTGAATCCCTCTGCCTAGACCATGGTGGCCATGTTGTGGCATCTCAGGGTTTGTCCCCAGACGTGACATCCTTCTGAGCAGCTCTCAGTGGTCACAGAAATGGGCTGAAGGTGCAGGGAATGGATGTCAGCTTTTCAGGACCGAGTGTTCAGCCTGACGTGCTGTGTGGCAGCCAGAACACCTAACCACGGCCTGTCGCAAGCACCGCCCTGTTTTTTTCCTTCCTTCCTCAGAATATGAATTACCTCTGTCTGAGGGCTTTCCCTCCAGACGCACAGAAGTACAGGGCCTTATCGGGCAGGGCAGGGAGAGCACGGCTCAACTTTTGGGTGCTGAACAAACAAGAGTTCGTATACGAGGGAGACCAGCGTGTGACAGATTGTGACATGAACAGAACAACACATCCTTGGTGCCTCAGTTGTTCACTCCTTTCTGGTTTTCGAATATACTGCTTCCTGTTGAGATAGAAATGAAGACTTGAATCTGACTTTCTCAGTGATAATCGTTAGATTATCACTATCACAATCGTTAGATAATTGTTAGATTTTTTTTCAGCTTTCAGCCATTTTTCTTTTCTTTTCTAGTTGTAGAATAAAAATCTTTGTCTTAAGAGAATTTCTGCTATGAAGTAAGGATAGGGAACACAGCATGCAAAAAGTAAAGACCTCTCTTTTATTTTTTTTGTTTTGAGGCAGGGTCTCACTATGCAGTTCAGGCCAGCTTTGAATTCACTGTGTATCCCAGGCTGGCCTTGAACTTGTGATCCTCCTGCCTCAGCTTCCCAAGTCGCGGTATTACAGCCGTACACCACCATGTCCAGCATGGGTTGTGATTCTTTTTTTTGTTTTGTTTTGTTTTTCGTTTTTCTTCCGGTACCGGGAATTGAACTCATGACTTTGCACTTGCCAGGCAGGCACTTTGCCGCTGAGCTAAATCCCCAGCCCCCGGATTGTGATTCTTGACTGACAAAAAGTCATAGTAAAAGTATTTAATCAAAAATCTCCAGCATAACGTAGAATTTTTTAAAACTTTTTTTGGGAGGTACTGAGGATTGAATCCAATGCCTTTGCTCTGAACTACATCCCCAGCCCATTTTTGATATTTTTAATTTCAAGGTGGTTTTGCTGAGTGGCCTAGGCTGGGTTCAAACTTTTGATCCTCCTGCCTCACCCTCCCAGATTGCTGAGATTATAACCGTGCACCATCATGACTACTTCTAAATGTTTTGAAATGTATTTATTTAAATGCTCTCAAGAGGGGCTGGGGATTTAGCTCAGCGGCAAAGTGCCTGCCTGGCAAGTGCAAGGTCGTGAGTTCGGTTCCCGGTACCGGAGAAAAAAACCAAAAACCAAAAATAAAATAAAATAAAAATAAATGCCCTCAAGAATTCGCCTAATTACAGCAAAGCCTGGCTGTGTTAAAACTGTTGGCAAAGCTGGGACTGTAGCCGGAGGGGTAGAGAACTTGCTCTGTATGCATGAGGCCCTGGGTTCGATACCACACTACCAAAAAAGAGAAAAAAAATACTATACCTGTGCACTTGAGTGAGGAAAAGGGAGTCCCTTGTGCCCCCTTGTGGCCATCTGCCCCCCAGCATCCTGGTACTCAGCAGGCCACTGTGCCTTAGTTAGAAGCCGCAGGACTTTCCCTTACACCCTTAGCTGTAACAGTGCATTTGCTTGGCACCGAGACAGATAGTGGTTAATGGTTTTTATCACTGTGGGTCCCTTTTCTAATCTGAAAAACAGCCTGGTAAAGGTGTGAGTAAAGTACACTTAGCAACTCTAAGCTGCTAGAAATAAGCTGCTTAAGAATTTCCTGTTAGTGTGAGGCTTTTTGTAATAGGCCAAGGTGTTCTTATCTATCTGCCTTTTACAGAGTGGATGATCTTAATCTCTTGTGCTGAGACAGTGCCAGAACATAATCCAGAAGACTTGTGCCAAACTGCTGTAAAAATGCCTCGAGTGTATTGCAGTGACTTTAGAAGGCTTTATTTGTTTTACTGGAAAAAGAAATCCGTTTTGCTGCATGTCCTCAAGTTAGCCAACTCGGACCTGTGGCTCTTTTTCCCTTTGAGGTGCCTTTCCCGTAAGTGGGCTGGGATCCCCTGATGCAGATTCTTTCTCTTGCAGGCCAAGTGTGTTTGGAAACACCCGCCTGGAGATGAGATATATCGCAAAGGCTCCATCTCGGTGTTCGAAGTAGATGGCAAGAAAAACAAGGTAAGATGCGGCAGCTAGGAAAGGGAGGTGGTGGTACTGAACTTGCACAGGTTTCCAAAGGAGGGTGTTTTGTCTTCATCCCACCTTGTAAAAGGAGATGTTTAGGTCGTGTATTTGGCAGTAGAACAGTTCCCTGTCATGGGTAATAATGGTGTGCCCATCATTTTTAAGCTTTTGTCTGATAGGTTTGGAAACCACTGCCCCCTGCCCACAGTCTTTCTCTGCTTCCAGATCTATTGCCAAAACCTGTGCCTGCTGGCCAAGCTCTTTCTGGACCACAAGACGTTATACTACGATGTCGAACCCTTCCTGTTCTACGTTATGACAGAAGCGGACAACACTGGCTGTCACCTGATTGGATATTTTTCCAAGGTCAGTGGACTCTGGAGATGAAGCTCACAGCCGGAGGAGGGTGATGGGTGCATTTGGGGGCTCAGATCCCTGATGGGAAGAGGCAGTGCCCTGGACAACAATCAGCCCTTCCCTTAAGAAAAAAGGGAAGCCCACGTCTCAAAGATAGCTTAATGAAAACGTCCAGTTCTTTACTAAAAGCTTCTGGTTTATTCATTTCTGGAGTTGTGGGCTGGAGCTGCCTATTAATTACTGGCTCAGGTCTCCCTGCTAACCCTCAAGCCCACATCTTGTAGTCAAGCCAGCTCTCCCAGCTTTGCCATCTACGTCATTAGCTTGGAACCAGGAATAAATTCCCATCGCCTAGTTCTTTAGCTGGGCTTTGAGCACAGCTCCTTGAGCATCAATGCCTCTGGGCCGGATTTGTCTTACAACTTTTAGCATAACTTAATTGAAATAAAATTCATGTACCGTACAACTCCCTGGCTCCAGGCAAATGCAGCTCAGTGGGTTTTAGTGTACTCACCGAGTTACGTGACCACTATGCGGCTGTCACGGTTTTTATCATCTTGAAATGCTGTCACAGCAGCGGTGAGGCCCTTTCCAGCCTGTCTCTGTAACTTCGCCTCTTCCAGGCATTCCATATAAACAGAATCATAGAAAATGTGATTTGGTCAATTTCTGATCCGCTTCCAGAAATAAGCACTTACATTTTGTTCATTTCCCTTCGCTTCTGGTAGCGTCTCCTTCGAAAATCTGCTTTTAAAGAGGGCTGCTGTAGACGACTCCACAGTCTTAACCTTGATTCGCTCTGTGGCTGTCAGGAAGCCAGAGCTGGCCCCTTAAAGTGAGACTGAGGTCTCAGAGCTGGAGAAACCCTGGGATTCAATGCTTTGGCCGTCAGAGAGGGTGCGGTGTCCACCTGGGAGCCGGATAGCCACTCCCCAGGACTGGTTAATGGGACTTTTTGCAGGAAGCCTTACTGTGTGTCTGTGGGCTGCTAAAACCTTCGGCCCAAGCCCTCATGACCCACTGATCCATTTGCTTTTGATTTTAGGAGAAGAATTCATTCCTCAACTACAATGTGTCCTGTATCCTTACCATGCCTCAGTACATGAGACAGGGCTATGGCAAGATGCTCATTGATTTCAGTAAGTGAAACTGCTAACTCCTCAGCTCCACCGGGCAGGGAGCCTGTGAGTGTTATTGGTCATCTCTACGGTCCTGGCGTGTGTGTAGCACACGAATAAGCAAGTGAGGAAAACCTGGGTGTGGTCTCTCTGATTCACATTGAAAGCTGAATGAGTCCAAGAGCTGGAGCTGGTGCTTAATTAGAGCAGTGCACTAAGCTCTTCAGGATTATCCCAGGGTGAGAGTTCAAAACACAGCGCGTACATATGGAAAGCCTCTGATCTGGGCCTTTGATATTTAGGATTTTACTCTTGTTCTTTTTTTTAATTTTTTGGTGTCAGCAATCGAACTCAGGACCTTGCGCTTGCCAGGCAGGCGCTTGTGCCGCTGAGCTATATCCCCAGCCCCCTGGGATTTTACTCTTGTAAGGACTTGTCTAGAGGAAATGCAGGTACCTGATACGGGCTTTGAGTGTTGCACGCCATCCCCATTCTCTGTGGGAACTCGCTCTGAACTCATCTGCAGTTGATCACAAACTTAGATTTGTTAGCCCAGAGTCAGCCTCAGTGCTTCTGTGGCCCCTCGCAGCAAGCGCAGAGCGGGGCAAACCCAGCCCCTGGAAGCACACACTGCAGCTGCCTTCGAGTAAGACACCCTGCTTTGGCCCTTCCGCTGTGAACAAGTGTTACTTGCAGTTCATTAGTGGTCCATTTTTATGTTTTTCGTTGGGCAATTTATAGTGGCCCCTACCCCTGGCGCCACAGGGCTGTTCCCCAGTGCAGGAAGACCTGGGCAGACTGATGTGCTTGCAGTGGGGTGATGAGCTGCAGGCCCGCGTTACCGTGCTGGGTCCCTGAACATAGCATCTCAGAGCAGCAGTTGGGTCTGTCCTATAAGAATGTTTTGCCGGTTTGGTGCTGCACGCGGATAGTCCCAGCCCTCGAGGATGAGGCAGGAGGATCTCTCCAAGTTTGAGGCCAGCCTGGGCAACATAGAGCCTATCTCAATAAATAAATAAATAAAAGTTCAGAGATTTCACATACATAAGAAGCTATGTAATGAGATGGCTTCCCTTTTCTGTGCCCTGCCTGTCTTGTTTTTTTGTTTTTGGTTGGTTGGTTGGTTTGCTTTTGTGAGAAAGGGTCTTGCTCTGTAGTTCCAGCTGGCCTTGCACTCACTGTGTAGCTCAGGCTGGCCTCAAACTAAGGATGATCCCCCTGCCTCGGCCTCCCTAGTGCTGGGATGAGTAGGGATGTGCCACCACATCCAGCTAGTACTTCTATATTTGATCTCTGGCTCTGGGGATCTTTTTAGTGGCTATTGCAAGTAATGCAATTACATATTCTCCCCTTCGGGCTTATACAAAGGTAGCGTGTTGCACACCACACATCCCGCATTGAATGGCAGAGCGGAGTGGATACTGCACTGCGGACAGTCCTTAATTAAGCCTTCCACCTTAACACACTGATCTATGCTATTAGGGTGAGATACAGTGTTGCTAGAAAAAGTCTTGTGTTTGTTCCCTGGCAGGTTATTTACTTTCCAAAGTGGAGGAAAAAGTGGGCTCCCCAGAACGTCCGCTTTCAGATCTGGGGCTCATAAGCTATCGCAGTTACTGGAAAGAAGTGCTGCTCCGCTACCTGCATAATTTCCAAGGCAAAGAGATTTCTATCAAAGGTTGGTTTTGAACTGCTTGGAATGGTTAATTGTTCCACTCGGTAGCCTGGCTTTCCCCCTTGGCCCTGTTCACAGTGCGTCGCCTGTGAGGACAGTGCTCCTCCTCTCTGCGTCCTGTGGCTGGGAAGGGATGGCCCACCACACAGGTGCCACTGTAGGCCCCCTCACTTGCGCCCTGGAATGATTAGGAGTTGGTTTCTCATTTCTGGAGCTGCCAGCACTTTAATTCTTACAAAAGTCAAGAAGAAAACTTCCAAGTATTTTGATACATGTGAGAGCTTCTAAGAAAAACATCCCTACCTTTTTACACATATGCTGAAGAATTGAGTTTGGTCTGTATTTGACCTTGTTCTCGGAGGGGCCAAGGGTAGCTTTTTGGTGAAACACCGGGTTCAGCCCAGTTACTTGGACTGGTTAAACTGACGCTTTGTGCACATTTTCTGAGCGGACTGAGCGCCATGGATGATAGCCCCATGGGGTCCCCCAAGGGAGAGGCCCTCCGGGAAGAGGTGGGGTTTGTAGTCTGACCAGGCTCTCAGGAGCTCTTTTGTTTCAGAAATCAGCCAGGAGACGGCTGTGAACCCCGTGGACATTGTCAGCACTCTGCAAGCCCTTCAGATGCTCAAGTATTGGAAAGGAAAGCATCTGGTTTTAAAGAGACAGGTGAGGCTTCTAGCAGCTGCTTGTTCCTTGCCCAATGCTCGCTGAGGCAGAACAGAGCCTACTGGGCCTGGCTATTGAAGAGAGCTTTCCTTCTTGATGGGTTTGAGTATAAGCACCTTCCCCTGGCCTTGTTTCTTTAGCTGGTGGTGAGGCCCAAGTTGCCTTCCTTACTACGTTTATCTCCTACCTTGTTTGTTTTGTTTTGAGACAGGGTCTCACTGTGTAGTGCAGAGAGGCCTTGAACTCACAGCAATCCTCCTGCCTCACTCAGCCTCTTGATTGCTGGGATTATAGGCGTGGGCCACCACACCTGGCCCCTTTTATCCTTAGTGGGAGCTTTTGGTAGGCTGTCTCAGATTTGGATGACACAAGTTAAGCACCTTGTTTTGGATGGCTTTCCTGGACTAGGAAAAGTGGCCTCAGATTGTTTCACAAATGTCATCTCGACTCATGCTCACTTTAAAATGTTTTAGTTGACTCCTACGTCCAATAAATTGGGCAAGGTAAGAAGAAATGGATTAGGTAGGAAAGCATTTCAACGATCAAAAGATAGCATTTTGCTGTTTGTGGTAGCACGCATCTGTTATCTCAGCCCTCAGAAGGCTGAGGCAGGAAGATTGTTGTGAGTTTGAACTCAATGCCAATCTGCACAACATAGTGAGACCCAGTCGCAGACACACAAAGGTAGTATTTTCTATACCTTAAGATACTGTTAACCACTTGGTGCTTTCTTCTTGTCCAGAAGTTGTTTTGGAATCTGTGTGTCTGGGCGTGTGTATCACATGTGTCTAATTATGCTTCTTGTTCTTCCCAGGATCTGATTGATGAGTGGATAGCCAAAGAGGCCAAACGGTCCAACTCCAATAAAACCATGGATCCAAGCTGCTTAAAATGGACCCCTCCCAAGGGCACTTAAAGTGACCCATCATTCTGAGCCAGCGAACCCCAGCAGTAGGAATCCATCCCCTAGGGATCTGTCTGTCATTTCTGTTGCTCTTGTGATTGGCAAGTGCAGTACCCTTTGGGAAGGCCACGCCCCTCAGGACTGTCCTGGCTCCGCCCTCGTGTACACTGCAGACGCTGGTTCTGAGGAACTGTTGTTTCGGCCTCAGTGAGGTTGCCTGGATGGGACCCGCACCAGCCTTGGGTGCGGCTCCCTCATAGCACTGACCCAAGGAGATCTGTTCCGGTACTGTACCTGTCCAGTCACTGGTTCTGCCTCGTGTCCTCTGCCCCATGAGGTGTGTCGTGTCCTCTGAGCTTTGTTCTAGTGCTTCTTGCCACCTGGTCACCAGACCTCCAAGTACGGTTGCCCTGGCCAGGGTCTTTGCGGTGTCCCCTTCCATGCGTGTGTGGGGAGGGTTGGGGAAGGGGTGGCACTTCGGACCGTGCACTCACCGGGAAGGGGTTGTTCACCTCAGACTGCACCTCGCTGTCCCTTTTATGCCTCCCTTTTTATCCGTATCGGGCTGACCAGAGCCAAGGACTTGCGAAGAGCTTCCCAGGGATTGGCCTTGGGAGCAGTGAACAACCCGTCTGAGTCAGAGGACGGTGAGCGGAACGAGAGCCAGCAATTCTGTACTGCCCTGCGCTCACCTCCGGGCAGTGGGCAGTCTCGCTGGAAGAGAACGGATGCTTCTTTTCACCTCACCAAAAAGTGCCCAGCAGTGAACGTGCTCTCTTTGCCCCTTGGCTCTTTTTAATTTTGCAGGTGCCAAAATAATTTCCAGTTCTCTCTATCATGCTGCGTGATAACTGGTTAGCTCTGCCGCACAAACCTCTACCGGCACATCAGGTGCACTGACTTTGCCCGGAGCCTCTGGGAGAAGTTGAAAGTGGTTGGAAATGATTTTGGCGTCGCAGCCCGTGACTCAGCGAGCGAGGCAGCGTGGCCGCCCAGCCGAGGTTTGCTTCTCAACAGCGTCGCCCCCTCCTGTAGGATGAAGTGCTTCCGCCCCCCAAAAGCCCCTCCTCCTCTTCGGGATGCCCCACCGTCCTCTCCTCTGGTCTCCTATTTTCGGTGTTGTCCGAGTGCAGGAAGAGATGCTCCCTCTAATTTCTCCCGCGCCCGTTATAACCTGCTATCTTGGGGCCGCTTTTGATGTCTGACATGTCGCCCTTCCCAGCTCGGTCTCTGACACCGCTGTCTTCACGTGGCGTCCTCACCACAATCCTGACTCTGGTCATTTGTGCCTTTCTCGCGTCATCTCTGTACACTACTTATATTCACTGTGGGTTGTGGGGAGCTGATTTTAAGCATGTTCTGTGGTGGCTCCCTTCCAGTGTCACTGTTGAAACTTATCCACAAGCAACTTCACTGGGGGTTTTCTTAAGGGGTGAAGGCCTTTTACAGATGCCACGTCCTTCTCCGCGTGTGGTAGAATGTGCTCTTCTGTATCTACTCAATAAAGCATGTTCTCTGCTCACGGCTGCTTCCTGGGCACTTGTCTATGTGACAGGGCTGCAGCGGGCCTGCTGCGCTGTCACCACACTGGGGACTTGTTCTCTCTGGCAGGAAACCATTGAGAGAGGCAGCTGGCGGCTCTGGGACTGCTTTTTCCTTGGGACGCAGCCGTCTGTCATTGGTGGGACTCATCCATCTGCCCCACGTGTCCCCTCCCTGTACCTCTCCCCCCGCCTGCTCCCCCGTGTGTGGCACGATGGCTGGTCAGCACAGCTCCTTTCATTGAGGTCATTTCCCCTGCTCTTGGGGTGGAGGATCCAGCAGGAAGTTAAGAGAGGTGCGGTACAGTGGGTACTAGCGGTAGGTGGCCAGAGACGTTGCCTCCTGTCACCCAATACATTCTCCCGGGGTGAGCTGTGTTACCTGTTATACTTGTCCCTCTCCCAGCTTATGTTTCTGAAAGTAGTACATTTTCCTATGGCATTTACCCATGTGGGAAGGAAGGCTGGGTGCGCTCCTCCCTGGAGGGAGGAGGAGGTGGGAATTGTGCTGCTGGGATGCGTTTGCTCGCTGCAGCTGGGAGTGCTGAGGACCCATCCCTGTGGGCAGCCTGGGATCTTCCTTTAGAGCTGGGGGCAGTGGAACAGGCCTGAAATTCCAGCTGCTCAGGCCGAGTCAGGAGGATCACAAGTCTGAAGCCAGCGAGAGCAACGTAGCAAGAAAACCCTTTAAAAAGTCCTGTGTGCCTCCTACTGAAGGGTCAGGGGTGAGGTGGAGAGAAGCCTACGGTTGTAAAAGGACTCTTGTATTCATCTTTTCTTCATGTGTGACCGAATCTCCCTGTTGTAAATATCTATAGCAAAGAGAAATTTTGCTACTACCTTTGTGAAAAAATGGACCATGAGCAAGGAATTCTGGGAGGTAAAGGTATTGATTGAGGTTTTGTGCACAGACTGACTCCAAACCTCCAGGCTGGCTGCTTCCCTGAACGTTAACGGAAGACTTCTGGGTCGGACCCCTTACAGATATGGGAAGGGCGTTTGCTTCCCTCTGCTACTTGGAGTGAGGTTCCATCTCCCTGTGATGCTTTACCTAAAAGCTTCTTTGCATGTAAGAAGCTTAGCTGCTCAGGCTCCTTCCTGACAAGGGGCACAAATCTATGCTTTACTGCAGGACCTAGCTCTGAAAACCCATCTGGAGCTACCTGCTCCATCTCCCGTGGAAGAGACTGTGATTCCTTAATGATTAACGTCCTTTCCCTTGTAGAGATCCTTTGCTCCAGGCCTCCATTGCAAGGAGTGGGGCAAAGCTGGTGGAAACTCCCAGAAAAGGAGTTGATTTTAGCTGACCTTAGCAGCAGCAAGTGGGCTAGAGGGTGAGGCCAAGAAAAAGATGCATCTCTCTCTGGCCTTGCTTCTGATTCGGGAACAACTGGTCCTTTACCTGCCCAGCTCCCTTCAATTCTCATAACACTGCAAGTAGACATTAGATCCCTTTTTCAGCAAGAGGTTTGAGAGTCCCAGAGGGCTTGCTGCTAAGTCACAGCAGCAGAATGACAGCCTCGCCCCTCGGAGTCCAGATCGCACACTTGGGCAAGGATGTCATGAGCTCTGGTCCCTGGATGGTGCTGCTGTTTTCCCATTTCTCACATGGGAATAGTGAGTCAGTACTTCTTAGTGACACAGTGTACCTTTTATAGGCAGGGTGCTTGGGCTTGGCCTCAACTTTATTGGCACCTGCAGCTCTGGCAGGTGGCATGGCTGGGGTTGGGAATGACCTGGAGTAGAGTTGTCCATGTCAAGCCAGTTGGTCCAGATCAAGATTGGAGCCACGTGGCGTTTAGAGCCAGTACACAGCAATCAACTGCAGCCTGCTCACGTGCATATTCGTTCTGGGATGTGGAACAGATGGAAATGGGCTGTCTGAAGGTATGCTAGTGACCTCAGAGGTGGTTCCAGACCTCCCTGCCTCACCCTGTGAGGAGCAGTTGCAGTCCCGGCATTAAGGCAACAGAGTTTTTACGAGGAGGTGAAGCGGCAGTATTGATCTTTACCCTTTTTGTTTGCTTCTGACCTTCGGGAATCTGATCAAAGCATTGGATTTTTTTTTTTTAAACACATCTATGCAAATAGCACATTCGCAGTTCAGGAAACTGTGCCTTTGAAGTCCATTCCTAGATATAGGGTTAAGAAGCCCTGGTTTGAAAAGCCCTAGGAATGCTTTGTGCCTGTCTTCCCGCTTATCCCAAGACCCTGAGGTGGTACCCAGTCACGTGGCGTGCGGTGAGGTAACGGACAAAGCCTGGCTTGCCGTGGCTCAGTGTCAGCTTCCTCCCGATGGACCTCAGCGGGACGTGTACGGAATGGACAGGTCTGCGTGTCGTGAGAATGAAACACAAAACCCCTTTGCTAAATAATGGTCTGTGATGTGTGCTAGGACTTTCTGAGAAACTGCCATTGCTGTTCTGTTCATTGGGATCATGGAATTCTAGAGTTGGACCTCAGCTGGTTTCGCTCCAGCACTTTGGGCCGCAAACGTGGATGGCTGCCCCTTGCAGACCGTTTCCTGCTGATGGGGGCAGTGTAATTGCTCCCTTCCCTTGTGGTATCTTCAACCATGCCAGTGAATGTCACTAAGAGGGAAACAAAGGATCGCCCAGTGGTGAAAAATGCGCCAGTGCCAGTACATCAGTGCCTCTTCCTCTTATGCAATGCCATTGGATACAGGTCATGTTGCCACCATTGCAGGGCTGGGGTTTGTTTACCTGTGTGTTCTCTGTGAGATACAGACGCCTTTATCCTTGGTAAGTCAACGTTCATTCCAAGAAGCCAGTCTTCGTTCCTGTTTCTGAGAACAGCGCTCCCATTCCAAGGGATCGCCAAGTCTCTTCTGCGGTATCTCCAAAGATGGCCGCCAACAGTTGCTCCATCCTTGTGTGGCTGAGCTGCTCCTTCCCATGACTGGTCCGCTTTTCCTCCTCTCTGTAGGCGGGGCTGGCTTGTGACATATCTTGACTGGTGGAATGCTATGGAAGTGATTTCTGGTAGCTTCCAGGGTTTGCTGTTGGCACTGAGCTGACGTGTTCCAAACCAGAAGCTTGAGGCAGACTGCTGAGTGAGGAGCAAGCCTGTGGCGCAGGCGAGCTGAGCCCTTCCAGCGAACACCAAAACCCCACGCTTGGGTTTCCTAGAGGTGGCAGTCCCAGAAGGTGAAACTCAGTGAACGCAGCCTTGTCACTGCCCCCTGCTGATGCCACAGAAAGATAACGAAACATCTAGCTGAGACCCACCAACCCATGGAACCGTGAGGCATGCTGTTCTAAGCCATGTTTTGGATCGATTCCATAGACAGCACGGAAACGAAAGGGCTGGCGTGAGGTTTGGCCTTGTCGCCAGAAGGTGTGCACCGAGGACACCAGCTTGCGCCATCCCTATGTAAGTGACACTCAGAGTCAGCTCAGCCCCAGGTTGGCCACGCAGCGTTATCCGCTGTTAGTCAAATTGCTCTGAGGCCTCTGGTTGACCTTAGGAGCCTTAGCCACCTCCCTAAGTGGGTCAGGAAGAGTGAAGACAGCCTGTCCTTCCTTGCTCAAGAAAGTATGTGGCTCCCTGTGCGCATCGACTCGGTTCGTGTTTATCCTGGCTTCCAAGCCTTTCCATAAGCTGACTCAACCCACATAGCTTCCGTAGTCCCTTACACATCGCCTCTGCCTGCAGTTGGATCAGCCCATCATCCCTCCTCTGTGTTTACTGGGAAAGCCTCTCAGCTGTCCCCAAGTGTGTTCCATTAAATACCAAAGTATGAGCAAAAAGGGTACTGTGGTCAAATAAATTTGGAAAACACCAAGTTAAGTACTGGAATGTTTCTTGACTTACAGGCTTCTCAAAACCTTCGGTAAGCTAGTGGGCATTGGGGTTTTCCGAGAGGGAGAGAGGATGTAAGAGTTCCTAAAATGATTTCAACAGGAAGGAGCCTCTTGGGCTGGTATGTGGGGGCTCGTACGTTTACTTTGGGAAATGGGTGCAGCTAAAAAGCAGTTCGTGGCCAAGGAGGTAGCTCAGCAGTACAGCACCTGCCTGGCAAGCATAAGGGCCTGAGTTCGATTCCTGGCACCAAAAAAAAAAGCAGTTCCTTTGGGACCGTCCTTGTAATAACTCCTGGGACTTGGAAGTACCAAGGTTCAGCGCCTGGCCCTTATTTCCTGTGTAACTTCAGGTAAGTGGCTCACTGTCACCTGCAAATGCTTAACATATATTCAGTCAGTAAATACTCATGAGTGCCTTTGCGGTGGCCCTGGAGAGGATGTGCAGTGGTGCACAAATGGCCGGCGATCTCCTGGAGGAAGCAGATGCGAAGTGTACTATTTCTAACAGTGATCAATAAAGGGAAGGGACAGTACTGTGTAAGCATAGCAGGAGGAAATTAGTTGAGCTTGGGAGCTAGGACACTGAGTCTTAAAACGGGCCTTGATCCTGGGGCCTGAAAGGTGAGTTCCCCAAGATAGCAGACATTGGGGCTGTGCCTGGACCCAGGCAGCAAGCCTGTATGTGACTCACACTGGTAGTGAGCATGGAGGGAAAAGGGAGGGACCTGACCCTAGGACAGCGGTGAACTGGCTAAAGGGCTGAACATGATCCGGTTTCCTGTTGTAAAGGTCACAGTGTGGCCCCGCCTGTAATCCCTGCACTCCAGAGGCTGAGGCAGGAAAATCACTGAGTGAGAGGCCAGCCCGGGCTACATAGTGAGACCCTGTCTCAAAAAAAAAAGGTCACAGTGGAAGAAGGACGGGGTGGGTGGCTGGTAGTGTAATGGACAGCAAGGAGTCTGTTGAGAGGCCACCCTGCTGAGCAGTGGGTAAAGGTGGCTTCTGTTAGCGGTGATAGGATGGCAAAGGTGGATGAGTTTGAGGTGGACTGGAGGTGAGCTGCCAGGGGATGTATGGGTGAGGAGTGGGCGATGCTTTGGCAGCTGAGTATATCAGGCGCCATTCAAAGAGATGCAGATGAGATGTCAGTGTTCGGGCATGCTAAGTGTGAGAATAGACTGTTCGCTAAGAAGGAGCTCTGGTACTTACCTAGGTCAATGTCCTTTTCCCCTACCCCCAGTACTGGGGATTGAGCCCTGTGCCTTGTGCCTGCTAAGCAAGTGTTCTGCCACTTAGCTGCATCCCCCAGGATCAAACCCAGGGTATTTGCACAGAGCTATATCTCCAGCCCTGTTTTGTTTTTGTGTTGAGACAGGGTCTTACTAAGTCACTGAGTTGCCCAGCCTGGGCTTGACCTTGCAATCCTTTCTCAGCCTCCCAGAGTGCTGGGATTATAGGTGTGTGTCACCACATACAGCTTCAGCTCTTTTTTTTTTAGGAGATTTTTATTTTTTTCTGCTGTACCAGGGATCAAACTCACGACCTTGCACTTGCCAGGCAGGTGCTTATGCCACTGAGCTATATCTCCAGCCTCCAGGAGATTTTATTTTCGAGACAGGATCTTGCTGTGCAGTTCAGGCTGGCCTTGAACTCGGGCAGTCCTCCTGCCTCAGCCTCCAGGGTGCTGGCATTACAGAAGTGCGTCATAACACCTGGCTTTCAGCCCTTTTTTGAGAAAGAGTCTTGCTAAATTGCTGATGCTGGCTTTGAACTCGTGATCCTCTGGTGTATCAGCCTCCCAAATAGCTGGAAGTATTACAAACATGCGTCACTGTGCTTTGCTTTTCTCTCCATTTGTTTATTTAGTTTTGGCTTTTTTTTTTCCTTTGGAGACAGGGTCTTGCTATGTAGTATAGGTTGGCCCCAAACAAACAGCAATCCTCTTGCCTCAGTTTCTGAGTGCTGGGATTACAGGCATGCACCTTTCTTTTTAAAATACAGCCTATTAGCCAGGCATGGTGGCGCATGCCTGTAGTCCCAGCACTCGAGTGGCTGAGGCAGGAGGATCCTTACAAGCTCGAAACTAGCCTGGGCTACAAAGTGAGCTCAAAGCCAACCTGAACTGTATAGTGATACTGTCTCAAAAAGGCTAAATAAGTAAATTAATTTTTTTGGGGGGGGTTGGTACTGGGAATCAAACTCATGACCTTGCACTTGCCAGGCAGGTGCTGTGCCGCTGAGCTAAATCCCCAGTCCCTTAAATAAGTAAATTAAATTAAATACAGCCTACTCTGACCTCCATCCCTGTCCCTTATAAAGAGTCAAATGCCCAAGCCAGGTATGGTGGCACAGCTTAAAAAATTTAGCCATGTAGCAATTTAGCAAGACCTTGTCTCCAAAAACAAATAAAGGAGCTGGGGATGTAGCTCAGCTTGAGGCAAGGGCCTTGGGTTCAATCCCCAATAACAGGAAGTAAAAAAAAAAATCCCATGCTCAGAAAAAGGAACACATTTTCTCCTTGGCATGAGGCATGTGGAGAGGCTAAACACGTCTAGTCACTGGAGCCTCTTCTTTACTACCAAGCCCTGCATCCAGCTCAGCCCTGGCCCAGCCTCTTTCATTACCTTGGCCTCCACTATGGTTTCATTCGGCCTTTCTAGGCATCCCAGAGTCCTCCGTGTCCCACCTGCCTCTGCACCAGCACAGGGACAAAGGCCTGCCCGTCAGAGACTGATGGGAGGTGGAGCTCTTTGCAGGGACAACAACCTGTCCTGAAGGCAAACCAGAGAGTTACAGGGCCACTTTGTTCTGGGGAACTGAACTACCTGGGGCCCAGTTCTCCACAGGAGAGACGTGCGGTCCTGACCATGCAAGCGAAACGATGTCTTCTTTCAGGCTCGGCAGTGGAGCTTCCACTCTGAAGTAACTCCTGCCCCGTGGTCTCTCCCCCACTCTGCCTGTGTCCCAAGCTTTCTTCCCCACCTGAGAACAGTCCCTGGGCTGTGTAGTCTTACAGTTCTGGAAGAGCCCTCCTGCCGGCATCCCACCCTCTGCCTTGAACTGCACGGGAAGCCACTCACTGGTCTTTCATTTATTAGCCCCCAGCTGTGCCGGATGTGGGTACAGAATGCGAGGCTGGCCCAGTGATGCTGTGACGGAAGTTCAGGGGAGGGCAGGGTTGCTCCAGCTGGAGAGAGTGACACAGCACACCTGTATACCACCACTGCCCAACGCCCAGTCCTGGAAGAGACTCACTGAGTGCAGTGAGGGCCAGCGTCGAGGACAGGAGACGCGGGGTAGAGTCGGCCTGCTGCCTGGTCTGTGATGTTCCGGAAGAGGAGGTGGCATTCTCTGGGAAGCGTCCTGTGGGTCCTCTCACTCTGAACCTGGGTCCTCATCCTCCGTGCCTGGGGAGGGCGCTGTAGGAGGTTGGCAGTTAGGGGAGTTCTGTCTGGACCCTTCACGCTGACGGCTCCCACTCACGTTCCTGCTGTCTGTAGGTATATAGTGCAGTGAGCCATGGGTTCACCTGCATATCTTCACTACCATAAATGCCACGGACCAGAGAGGGAGCTGACCCCAGTTTTCCTCTCTAGAGAGAAAGGCATTCCGAAGTCCCCAAGGTGCTCCTGGGGACATGGAAGGTGCCATGGACCAGGAAAGGAGACACAGCCCTGTCTGTTGCTCGCTCACTGCGTGACTTCAGACAGCTTGCTTCCCATCTCTGAAAAGGGACAGCCGCCCTTCACACCACGCACAGAGGGCTGCTCATTTCTATTTGGTGTTGGGGTGGCTTCCAGGGGCCTTTGGATGGATTGGCTCAAACACTTCGAGGAAATCTCAGGGAAGAACAGAGGCTGTTTCCATCTTTAGTCCCAAGAACCAATGCTGAAATGGGGGGTAGGAGCAGATGTCCATGGCTTGGGGGACGAGGTTAGGCACTGGCGAACGCAGCCCAGAGCTCACACTGACCAGTTTTGTTTGATGCTTTTTCGGTTTTGTTTGCACTGCTGGGGGTCCAAGCCAGGGCCTCACTCGTGTGAAGCGAGCCCTCTAACACCAAGCACCGCCACCAGCCCTGACTGCTGTCTCTGACACTGGGACACCGGCTGGCCTTCGTCTTGGTGGTTCGCAGAAGCTGGGACCCATCCCCAGCCTGATTCACTACCCCACACTCCCACCTGGCCCCTGGGATCCCGCTGGAGTGTGAGCCAGGTCTACCAGCTCTACGGTATAGCTGTTAACTGCGTAGGGTAGCACTCACCCTGGGGGCCCGTACTCAATGACAGAGGGTGACAGCAGAGAATCCCTTAGTACTACAGGCCTGAGCCCTTAAGGATCAGTGCGTAGGACTTTGAAGACAGCCAGGGAACATGGAAGCTCCAGGATCTGGCATTCTCTGTGTGCCCAGCTGGCTCTGGGGATGGGCAGTGTGCCCAGGTGGGCTAGGGCTGTGGAGGGCACAGCTTTAGGGCTATGGCTGTTTTAGTTGTGGGTCATCAGAGGCCGCTCCCTGTACCCAGGCTGCCCTCCGCATGAGGCCTCCATGCAAGGGCTTCTGGGCATCTTTTCTGTCTGTTCGCTTTCCCGTGTTGCCCAAACTGCCCACGAGCAGCTCTGGCCTACCTTCCGTCGAGAGTCCTCCCCTGCCCAGGAGGCCTTGTTCCGCTTCTCCCAGCTGATGCCCTGGCAAGGAACAGAGGAGAGGTGGAGAAGAGAAGCAGCAGAGGGTAACAAGGGAGAGGCAGGCCAGGCCCACGGCTGGGCTTTGCAAATGCAGTACTTGCTCAGCACCGCCCGGGCTGGGTTGTTTATCCACTGATCCTCCGCTGCGCCTTCTACAATACCTTGTGTTTGAGGGGGTTGGACGTGGTCCCAAGAGCACGTGGTGCTCAGTATAGTTTGGTTATTTCCTTTGGCTTTATTTTCCCCTTTCTGCTCAAGGATTTTTGCCAGGTCACTGCCACTCAGCTTTGCACTTTCCAGATCCTCCCTCTGTGCTGGGGACTGAGCTCCAAGCACTCTTGTCTTTGGTAGTGGACTCATTTCCCCCACTCCAGGCTTCATACTCAAGGTCATTTTGAAGTTTTGGCAGAACTAGACTCAGCCCTGTCTCCTCCTGCACCCCAAGCGTGCCCCAGGCATGTGCAGACCACCCTCCAGGAAGCAACCCCAAAGCTTGGAGGCGCAGGCACGGGGCCAAGCCACATCGGCCCGCCCTCGGCTCCAAAATGCCAGCCTGGCGTCCCTGCCACCCTCCCCCTCCCCAGGGAGCATGCAGGGGTGGCCACGCCTACCTGCCAGCCCTGGCCAGATCCGAGGGACACCTAAGGGAAGGAGGGGAAATGAGGGCTGCGGCACTTCCGGGGGGCTTGGCGAGGTGAGGTCTTCCTGAGCTGCAGCCTCCCCTGCTGTCCTCAGGTGGCAGCAGGCATGCGCCTGGCAGGAGTCAGGGTACAGCACGGGGTGCACAGATGACGCCATTGTGCCTGGCACTGGCTGGGTGGGCGTCCTTCGTGACCTGAGTAACTAGTCTCCGCTGAAGCTGGCGATGAGGGGACCTTGCACGTGCGAGCACCGTGGCGGGGCTCAGGAAATCTCGCCTGTGCTCCCGCCCCTGCTCCTCTGGGCTGCTGGATTTGGAAGAGGTCTCTAACGTGGCCCAGGAGCAGGTTTATTGTAGTGGAGAAAACCACTGCCCGACGTGTTTGGCTGCACATTGGTTTTCCCTATTTTTATCTGCATTTGCTCTCACAAAAGCACTCCTTGAATCCATTTTAAAAAGTCAAACAACGTAAAGGCTTGCACTAAAAATTAAAGTCCCTCTTCACCTACTCCTCTCATCACCACTTCCTGTCCTAGACAGAACCACTGTTTAAGTTTGATGTTTATTCTTCTGGAACTTTTCCTCTGCACTTACATATGCATGTATGTGTAATATGTAATTTTTAAAAAGCAAGTAGGCTCCTGTGATGAACACTGCTCTGTAACTTACTTGCTCAGTTCTGTTTTTTTTCTGGTACCGGGAATCAAACTCACGGCCTCGTGCTTGCCAGGCAGGCGCTGTGCTGCTGAGCTAAATCCCCAGCCCCAACTTGCTCAGTTTAACCATATATTTTGTTTTTGTTTATTGAGACAGGGTTTCAATATGTCATTCAGGCTGGCCTTGAACTCATGGGGATCTTCCTGCCTCAGCCTCCTGAGTGCTGGGATTACAGATGTGGGCTACCACATCTGGCAGGCATGTATCTTGGAGCCCTTCCCACAGGTCTGCCTCCCCACCTGCCCAGTACTAAGGACAGAACCCAGGGCCTCCTATATGCTAGGCAAGCACTTTGCTGAGCTACATCCTGTCCCTTTTTAAAAACTGCATTTTTAGGCAAGGTCTTGCTAAGTGGCCCAGGCTGCCATCATACTCATGATCCTCCTGCCTCAGCCTCCTGAGTAGCTAGGATTTACAGATCTGAACCACTGTGCATGGCCCGACTCATATTTTTTTAATGTCCACAAAAGTTATAGGTGAGCCTAATATATTTTGATCTTTCCCCTGCGATGGTTTTTATATTATTTCCAAGTCTTCCTGTTACAAACACTTGGATGATGATTACTCTTGTGCAAATATCTCAGAGCTTACACAGCAACAGCACATCCCCCGATAGATTCCCTCCTGTGAGACGGTTGGTCAGTCATGTATGCTTCTGACTTTGAGGGATATGAACAGCGAATGTTGTTTTTCCACACCCTCACCAGCACTGAGCAGGACCACTTAGAAAAACCAAATACTAAGCTGAACCTGACAGTGCACACCTGCAATCCCCGCACTCAGGATGCTGAGGGAGGAGCATCGCCTGGGCAAGTTAAAAAGATCCAGTCTCAAAAAATAAACGGTAGATAAATAAAAAGGGCTGGGGATGTAGCTCAGTGCAAAGGCTCTAGGTTCAAAACCCAGTACTGAAAAATATAAAAGAATATTGATGGTACGCTGAGGGAAAACAGTCCTCTGTTCAGACTATTTCCATCGAGATGCTGGCCTCAAAGCCATCCAGATGTGGAAGGCAAGGGCACCAGCCGGGGTGCAAAGTGTTGGGCCCTACCCTTAGGGTGACCGTACTTCTTGTCCACTGGGGACAGCCCCTGCTTACACCTGTCCCCTGTCATCATTATGGACACGCCCCCTGTATCCTGCAGGACATTTGCCACGGCAAGTCCACCCCCGCCCATCTCCTACGTGGGCCCTGCCAGAAGGGACCAGAGCAGCTGGTCGGCCCTGGGCCCCCGCTGGGTGGTGCAGACCCTGCTCAGAGCCACCCGTTCTGGGGCCCCGCCCACCGCTGTCACTCACCTCCCACCCGCTTCCCCATCAGCCCGAAGAACCGCTTGGCCTCCTGCAGCTGGAGCTGAATGCTGGGGACGGCGACCTGGAGAGACAGAGTTAGCAGAAGAATATGGGGGAGATTGACACGGAGGCAGGAGGGAACCAGGAGCCCTAACAACTCAGCAACCATTCAGTCATCGGATGCTTGCTCTGTGCTGGTGTTCGCCTCTCCTGAATATTTTCTTTCTTTTATTTTGTTTTTTTTTTTTTTTTTTTGGTTTTTTGGTTTTTCCCCGGTACCGGGAACCGAACTCACAACCTTGCACTTGCCAAGCAGGCGCTTTGCCGCTGAGCTAAATCCCCAGCCCCTATTTTGGTTTTTTGAGACAGGGTCTTCCTATGCAGTTCAGGCTGGCCTTAACTCACTATGTAGCCCAGGCTGGCCTGGAACTTACAGCGATCCTTCTGCCTCAGCTTCCCTGAGCGCTGGGGTTACAGGTGGGTGTCACCATACCTGGTCTTCTTCTGCGTGTGTTACACCACATTGTGCATTATAATTAATAGCCAACAACTCCCCTACTATGTTGCTGGCACACACAGTACCTGGTGCTCTTACTGTTACCACTTTACAGAGGGAAACGGGTACAGAGAGATTCCGCAGTGTGTCTGAAGTTCTCCAGCCAGGAAGGGAGGGGTGGAGCCAGAACTGGACCCCAGGCCCTCGACGCAAAGGCTGGGCTCTCAGATCCTGCAGTCATCACCTCACTCAGTCTCCATGGCCACCCTTAGAGTAGGGAGCGACGCCCCCGCCTGCTTGCCCCCTCAATGGACAGACAGTGATACAGAAGGTGAGTGAGCCACGATTCACAAGTCTGACTTCCCGACACAGGTTCTGCCCCGTCCTGGGAAGTGTCACCCACTTGGATGGAGGCCACGTGTGAACTGGCAGGTATTTGCTTTTCGCCCACGCCCCCTCCCTGGGCTCTGCTCTGTGCTCCAGGCACTGCCCTCCTTGAGCCTGTACCTCAGGGGTGGACCACAGCCATCTTAATCCCTACCATGAAGGGAAAAATGTCCTGAACAGGGCTACGGATTGAAGTTCTCCGTCCTGAGTGACCTATGACCTCACCCCAGCCTCCACGGAAGAGGGGCTCCTTTGTCCAACGCTCTGGAAGTAGGCCTGCCTGGAGGCGGGGCGCTGGGCTGGTGAGGGGCTCCATCCTCCATCCTCCAGCCCAGGGACCAACGGGGACCCGGTTGGGGGTCACGGAAACCCGTGTGCCTTCCACAGCGTGTCTTGTTCCCACTTTCAGGATCCGGAGGGGCTGTTTTCCAAGCCCTGGACGAATCCAGTCACTTCCAATCTGTCTCCTCCCTGGATGTCAGTGGCTGGGGCGTCTGTCTGAGGCTGGAGTCGCCCAGCCTGGCCAGAAACCTGAGAAGACTCTTTGGAGATTTGGACCCATTTCTGAAAAGCTCAGGAAAACCACTTTGCCTGGGTAAAAGGCAGCTTCAGATGGGAGTTGGAAAGAGCGGCCTTTTATAAATTAAGGAGGGCTGACCCTTCTCCCTCTCACCAGCATTCTGCTGAGGACCGAGGGGTACTAGAAAACCCTCCAGATCTGTGTTGACCTGAACCCCCAGTTTCAGAGAAGACGGCAGTGGAGCCCTGGAAGCTAAGGGGAGACTACAGCATCCCAGAAGTGACCCCACCCACGGGCCACTGCATTCCAGGAGCCCCGATGCTCAATGTTGATGCCACAAAATGCACCAACCTGAGAGAGAGCTTGAGAGTGACTGTTCTGCTCCATTGTGCGGGCAGCAAGACTGAGGTCCCGAGAGCAGCAGGAGTCAGGAGAGCAGCTGAGACTTGAGCCCCACTTTGCAAGGCCTGCTGTCTTCTCCCCTCTGCCCACACTCACTGTCAAACCAGAAAGGAGCCCACCCTGCACAGCTGTTCCTGACATGGCTCTTCCTGTGGCTCTGGGGACCTCACTGTGGCCCAGGACCCCAGGCCGAGGACAGCTGCAGTGTCCTCAGCGTGCTGGGAAGGATGTGGAGGGCTGGCCCTGGCACACCCTCCTGCAAGCTTCCCCAAGCGCCGTCTCCCTCACTGGCGGTGACCACTCTCTAGCCCCAAGGGCAGCTCCAGGTCAGGGTCTTTGCCTCTCCATAGGATCTGCTCAGACTTGGGGTCGGGATAAGGTCGGTACAGATGCTGGTCTCCAACGTTTAGCACCCAGGAAGGTTTTTTTTTTTTTTGGTACCGAGAATCAAACTCAGGACCTTGCGCTTGCCAGGCAGGCGCTTGTGCTGCTGAACTATATCTCCGGCCCCAAGAACCTAGGAAGTTTAGAAGAGAACACTGTCAAACCAGGACTTGTCAGGAAAGAATTTTTACAGACATATGAGACAAAAGAGTTGATCCTCTTGAAAGGAAATTGTGGATGATCTCAGATGCACTATACCCAAAATCACACCTTGGACAAGATACATAGCTGCCCTTTTATAAAAGGAGCTACACAATCTTGGGCAAACTAATTGATCTCTCTGTGTCTTGGTTTCCTTATCTGTGAAACAAAGAAGTAACAGTACTTGCCCATGATGTTGATAGAAGGGTTCAATGAGTTTAGGAAAGTATCAGGAATATAATATGTGGTTGTTTTTTTTTTTTTTGAGACAGAGTCTTGCTATGTAGTTCAGTCTGGCCTTGAACTATGTAGCCCAGGCTGGCCTTGAACTCACTATGATCTTCCTACCTCAACCTCCTGAGCGATGGGATGACAGGCGTGTGCCACCATGCCCAACAAAATGGTACACTGTTTCCATACATTACTGAACTCAGGCTACCAGTAATGTGTTAAATAAGTGCTTCTTTGACATACACACATGCACACACACAGATACATGTGCACACACAGGCACAACTATTACTCCCATGTGAACAAGCCGTGAGTCCCTTCAGTGGTCCGCCAGCCCGAGGCTCATGGCCTTGAACCTGCCCACAGAGGTCAGCCCACCTGCCCTGCAGTGCGCAACTGGCCCCTCTGGTGCCAGAAGGGATCTCCACCCTCCCCCATGGGTCACTGCCCACCCTGCTCAGAGCCTCCCCTCAAAGGTACCTCCAGGGTCACGGTCACCCAGGGCCGAGCTTTAGGGCTGGGTACCAGTTCCTCTCCGCTGTGGCCTGCCGTGGCGCCCTTGGACAGCCCCGCCAAGAGAAGCAGGGCCAGGCAGGGCAGCATGGTGGGTGCGCTGCTGGGTCTGGGGATCCTTGGGACGCCCTCTAGGCCTGGGGATGCCACTTGCAGCGGCTCTGTCGCCCGTCAGCTGCTGGAGTAAGTGTGGGAGGTGATCCCTGGTCTTTCCAGCTATTCTGCTTCCTTCTCTCAGCTTATCTGACCTGGGGCCATTTCCGGTGACCCCCTCCCTTCCCCGGCTGGAAAGGCCAATGGCAGCAGGAGCCCCCCTGCCACCCCCAACATTTGATCCCACAGCTTAGCCCTCTGATGCAACACCGCCTGGCCCTTGGCTGCGCTCCCTGGCTTCCTCCCTCTGCAGGTGCACAACGGGCAGCATGCAGGCTGCAAACCGCCCCCCACCCATGCTTTCTCAGTTTGGACGCCTCTTCCCAGAACTTAGCTCGCCTCCCCTCATTTGCCGCCCCTTCCAGCCGCTGAGCCCCTCTTCCTCAGTGTTTCCCCCTTCAGCAGGTCCCCCAACACACAAAAAGTGAGGTCCAGCCCAAGGCATGGTGGCACATGCCTGCAACCCCAGCACTTTGGGAGGCTGAGGCAAGACGATCCCAAGTTGGAGCCTAGCCTGGGCAACTTAGCAAGAGTCTGTCCTTCAGGGCTCTGCAGTCAGACATCTGAGTTCCAGTTCTAGTCCCATCACTGAGCAGCTGTGACCTTCGGCACATTACTTAACCTCTCTAAACCGCGGAACCGCCATCTGCAAAGCAGGATGGATAATAGCAGGGGGTGCAGAGTGTGAGGAGGGGCTGAGCTAATGTGTGCGGAGCACTTAGCATGGGGTGTAACAGTAAATATTTAATGCCCTTAACTATTCTTAGTTACCATCACTCACACCGGGTCATGGAAGATGACTAGGACCCCGCTCCTGTCTGACAGCAGCTCCCAGTCCATGTCTGGCTGGCAGTGCCAGCACAGAGGGGGAGAAGGCAAGGCATGCCCTCCTTCCCAGTCCTCCTCTACCTCCTCCCAGCATAGGACTTGCCCCTGCTGGGACCTCCCTTTCTACCCAGCTCACTCCCCGCTCCAGCAGCACTGGGGATGGAACCCAGGGCCCTCCACATGGTAGGCAAACGATCTACTGAGCTACATCCGCAGCCCTTTAAAATTCTGACTCAACGTCTCACTATGTTGCCAGGCTGACCTCAAAATTGTGATCCTCCTGCCTCAGCCTCCTGAGTAGCTGGGATCATATGGTGTACACCTCAGTGCCTGGAAAGTTTGATCCCACTTACTGTTTACCTCTTTGTTAAGAGTTTTCTGTCTCTGCTTCTGTCTCCAGCAAGAATTAACTGGACCCTTTCCCACAACCTCCCACTTGTAGCTCTTGTGGTTGCTCGGAGTTGTACAGGTTGTGTACTGCACAAGGGTGGCTCCTAGGGGGAGCACTGGAACTGCAGGACTCATTTTGATTACTGACACAGCCTGGCATGAGGCCATACCTCTGGAGAAGGTGCTGGGCTGGGGCGGTGCTGCTAGTCAGCCACAAGGTGGTTGATGGGGCCATGAGCTTTCTGAAGGGGGCTATGAGAGATGTGTGCCAGGCACATAGTAGGTCCAACTGAGTCCAGGCCCATCAAGACAGAACGAAAGAAGAGAGTGTGGAGCACTGGGAGGTGGTCCCCTTCCAATTGCTAGCGGGTCCCAAACCCAAGGGCTTCAGAACCCCAGTATTTGCATAAAATGCGGATTGCCTGGCTCAGCCTAATTTCCAGAGCTGGCACTGGCCTGAGGGTTCCTCTGGGCACATGAGGGAGGCCATCACACCAGCTCTTACTCAACTCTCCTAAGGGCTGGGCACCTAATTTATGTCTCATGTGCAATTTTGGGTTTTCCACTGTTAAGTTTTTCCTTGCACAAAAGTTTTGTCTTTCATCCTATTCATTTTACACATGTGGAAACGGAGGCAGGGGGGCTTATTTTAGGTTATACTAAGAATCAGCAGACCTGGGGCCCACAGCCCTGGAGGCAAACGCAGCACAAGCCTTTGGACCTGGAGGACTTGCATCTGCCAGGTGCAAATGGGTGATCTTTGCCCCAAGGGGTATCTGAGCCTCAGTTTTTCCTTCAGCAACTTGGAGCTGCCCGCACATGGCTCAGAGTCCTGCTGGTAAAGTGCCCGGCTTAGATCCCGCGCTCCATGGATCCTAACCGCCACAACCAGTAGAGCCCCGCCGCACGGCGCAGGAGCCACCCGGACGTGGGGGGCGCGCAGTGGGAACGCGCGAGGCCTCGGCTGGGGGCGCAGGGCGGCGGGAAGAGAGAGAAAACCCCAAAGCCCGGAAGGCCGGGAGCGGGCAGGGTACCGGCTGCAAACCGCGGCTATTTGGAGCGTCGCTCTCGGGCTGCGGTCAGGCTGGGGCTGGCAGGCCCGGGGCCCCGCCCGGTGCCCTCGGCCACCCGGGCACGGCCTGGCCCGGTGCGCCCCGGGGAAGAGAGGCCCCGAGGAGGGCGGGCGCGACCCCGCGCGAGCCAGGCCCGGACAGGTTCGGCTCGGGGGTCCGAGCTCCGCGTGGGCGAGGCGCGTCGGGGCGCAGGTTCCGGTTCCGGCTCCGGTTCCGGCCTCCAGGACCCCCGGGTGAGCGGGCCGGGGGCGGCGTCTGGCCGCGGGGCGGGTCGCGGCCGCGGCGAGGCTCCCGGGGCGCCGGGTGGGCGCAGGATTGCTAAAGGCTGCGGTTTGGCTGGGACGGCGGAGCCCAGAAGAAAAAAGGGCGCAGGGGGAAGGGATTTAAAAAAAAAAAAAAAAAAGCTGGGGCCGAGCAGAGCCGAAGGAAACACGAGACGAGGGCGGGATGCGGGAGGAAGCGGCCTGTCCGACGCCTGCTGCGGCCGCAGGAGGTGGGACGATCGGCCGCGCCTCGGGCTGCTCCGGGGAGGGCTGAAGCGGCCGGCCTGGGTTCGAGCGCGCGCTCCCTCGCGTGCGCGTTCACCTCGACGCAGGAACCTGAACGGGGGTGGCGGGGCTGGGAGGGGGCCCGGTGGGGTCTCCGCCGCCTCGTGGGGACGTCTGGGGCGCGGAGCGGCGTTCCGCCAGCGCCCTAGGTCTGTGCACGCCGCCTCCGCCTCCGCGGGCCCCAGCTCGCGTCCTCCGCGCCCCTCCAGCGCCCCCACGTGGAAGCGCCTCCCAGGCTCCTCTCTGCTTCCGCAGGCTGGGCGGGGACGCGCCGGAGGGACCCCGGGCAGGGCAGTGGGCGAGGGAGGGCGCCTAGAAGCCGGGTTGGGACGGTAGCTGCGCCTGTGCGCGGACCCCTGCGGCCAGGATGGCGTGGACTGGACGCGTCTCTGAGCTTCGGTTCGCGCGCGCGTTCACGGATTATGGATAAAAGGTGTAAATTGCCAGGGAACAGAGGAAAGAGGCAGCCAGCAAGCGCGACAGGCGTAGCACAGCGTGGAAAGGGCCATGGCAGGCGCCCTGGGGAGGCGCGACCCCCTTTACCACCTTTACAGTGTGGGCACGCTCGCCCTGCACAGGGTGCTGTGGGTTTGGAACTGGATCTCCAGCCCACGGCGAAGGTGGGGCAGGCAGCCTTTGTCCCTGTGCCCAGGGGTTGTGTGGGCAGATGTCTGTGCCCACATTCGTGGCAGACGGCTTGGCTCAAGCCTGCCTTGCCCTTGGCATTTCCTCCCCCTCGGTTATATTCCCGGTGTCTCTAGTGGAGCCTGAAGATACCACGAAGTTTCAGAGAGATTCGTGCCGCGAGCTGATGATCTGAGTTCCTAGAATAATAAAGAAGAGTCTGGGTCCTCAGCTTTGCCAGCAGGTCTGCCCCTCGGCCAGAAGCCTGGGGGTGCAGGGACCCGGGTCTCTCTTTTCCATCCCCGTCGCCTTTGTGCAAAGGGCCCATGCCACCCACGTCGTTGCAGTTAAGGAAAGGTGACCATGCTGAACGGGGTTATGGATTCGCATGTAGGATTTATGTCAGAGCAGCAGGCAGAATGGTTAAGAGTACTCTGGGTTTGATGTGGGGGGGGGGGCGTGGCAGTGCACGCCTGTAATCCCAGCACTCAGGATGCTGAGGCAGGAGGATCGTGTGAGTTTGAGCCCAGCCCTGTCTCAAAGAAGAAAACAAAACAAACCCCACTGAATACCCTGGGTTTGAATCCTGGCCCTGCCACTTAATATCAGTGACTTTAGACAAGCTTCCTAACTGTTCTCATACTTGGGTCAAGAAGACTTGGGGTGACCTGGGGATGTAGCTCAGTGGCATAAGCGGCTGCCTGGCAAGCTCAAGGTCCAGAGTTCAATTCACAGAAATGGAAAAAAAAAAAAAAAAAAAGAAGAAGTTGGGGTGAAATAAGGCATCAAAGGGCTTCATGAGGCATCTGGTATGTTGTAGGCATCTATGCTGCAATTATTATTGCTGTTAATAATAGAATTAAGCAATGATATTCAGCCCCGACCCATGGGAAGTCCTGATTAAGGAAAGGCATTTTGGGAATTCCCTGATCTTTTCCTAAGGGCAGGAACCAGTCCTTCCCTGCAGCCAGCTCTCTTCCCGAGGGGAAACGACTTAGGGGACCTGAAAGATGGGCTCAGAGGCTCCTGGCCCCTTGTCGGGAGGTGTGTGTGTGTGCCAGTCCTGCCCCTTGCCTCAAGACGTCTCCCTGGGGTGCTGGCTTCGCCCGGAGCCTGCCAGCAATAAAGGCACCGGAGTCCGACCCCATTAGTGTGCAGAGAGGAACTCATGATTAAAATTGGCCTTTTCTTCCTGGATCTTGGTTACTGAGTACAGGAGAAAAGTGAGCGGCTAATTGAAAATATAATTATAATGCACTGTCCTCTGTCTGCCCAGGGGAGCCTCCAGACCCTGCTGTCTGCTGCACAGTTTGTTTCTGGTGGCGGGGAGGACTCCGGAGCCAGCCATGTGGAGACACTGCCCGGCGGCTGGGCACTTCGCTGGCTGGGCAGGACAGGCGCGTGGAGCTGCCCTTGCAGGGCTGGACCTCTGTTCTGCCCTCTCTGGCCACCATCCTGTGTGCAGGGCTGTGGAGTGCAGGTGTGGGAGAGGTGGCCTGTGCCTGCTATGCCCTTCCTGGGGCTGCCCAGCCCTCCTATGGTCTGGGGTGGGGCGGGCGGGCAGGCCCTTGAGGTCAGCAGAAAGCTCCTCTGAGACGCCTGGGCCAGTGTAACCCCAGAGGGCTCC